CCTAGCCTGAGAAATATCCTACAAGATGGCTGACCAATGTTCTTCAAAACTGACAGTCATGGAAAATAAAGAAAAATTGAGAAATCACAGATCAGAGAGGATGCGCCAATCATGAACAGATCCTAGAACAGGAAAAGAAGATACATGAGAAAACAGGTCAAATTCAAATAGATTCTGGAGCTTAGTTAACTCCAACACTTCAACACTAATTTCTTAGTTTTGAAAAATGGACCATGATTGTGAAAAATGTTAATTTCAGGGGAAATTGGATATATATCACATATATATCCACAAATTTATACTCAAAGTTCAAACAGATCTTTTCCAAAGAAGATATACTAATGTCCTAAAGGTATATGAAAAGGTGATTAGCATCAGTCCTCACCAGCAAAAGGCACTTCAAGGCTAATCAGATGTCACCTCACACTTTCCAAGATGGCTATTAACAAAAGGTCAACAGAAGCCAGCATGGTGTCACACACCTGTAATCTCAGCACTTTAGAGGTAGAAGTAGGCAGATTAAAAATTAAAGGACAACTGGGTACATAACGAGTTCAAGATCAGTTTGATATAGACAGTGAAACCCTTATACCATTATGAGAAAAAGTATGGAGGTTTTTAAAAATGTAAAGTAAGAACTATCAGAAGATCTAGAAATCCCACTACTGGGCACATATTCAAAAGAAACTGCGTTATTTCAAGAGATAGCTGCACTCCCAGGCCCAGTGGAAGGCTGAGGTCAAGAGGATCACAGACAATTTCAGGCCAGCCTGAGCCACACAGGGTTCCAGCACAGCCAGGCTTCCATAGTAGGACCCTGCCTATACACACCACACACACACACACACACACACACACACACACACACACACCATGACCCCACACACACACCATGACCCCACACACACACCATGCCAAAAAGGACTTGGAAATGATTTAAGGGTCATCAATGAACAAACAGGTAAAGAAAATGTGGTGATGACTGGGATGTAGTTCTGTGGCAAAATGCTTGCCTAGCATGGCCCAAATGCTGAGTTTGATGTTCAAGATGGGAGGGAGGGAGGGAGGGAGGGAGGGAGGGAGGGAAATAGAAAGTAGTATATACACACAATGAGTGTTTAAGGAGGGTCACAGCCCATGAAAGCCTGGAAGTCATGGGAGGAAGAGGAGGAAGAGGAAGAGGAGGAGGAGGAGGAAGAGGAGGAAGATGAGGAAGAGGAAGGAGGAAGATGAGGAGGAGGAGGAGAGGAGGGAGGAGGAAGATGAGGAGGAGGAAGAGGGAGGAGGAAGAGGGAGGAGGAGGGAGGAGGAAGAGGAGGAGGAGGAGGAGAGGAGGAGGAGAGGAGAGGAGGAAGGGGGGGGAGGCAGGGGAGGAGGGGGGAAATCCCATCTGCAATACAGATGAACCTGAAAGACATTACACCAAGTGAAATAAGCCAGACACAGAAACCCAAATGTTTTATGATATCATACATACAAGGAATCTTAAAGTCATAGAAACATAGTTAAGAGCAATAGTCACCAGGGACTGGTAAAGAGGGAAATGGGGAGACATTGGTTACAGGCACAAAGCTTCCAATGTAAGGTGGTAATCTCTGGAGACCTCATGTTTCACATAGTGACCAGAGTTCATGTACAGCATACTTCCACCTGGAAGAGAATAGACTTCTCCCCACACACAGAGGTCAGCTATGGAGTGGTGAGAGTGGTGATCATTTCACAGGGTTTATGCACACCAAAATATATTGTCTTCCCTAAATATATAAAATTTTTACTGGCCAATATTTCAATCAAACTGAGGGAAAGACTATGATGGAAGTAGAAAAGCAGTCTTTAACAAATACTACACTGATTTCCCAGGCAAGAATTATCAGTGAATATAATAAAATTAGTAGGCAAAAAGTTCAGTGAGAAGTAGGTTACTTCCATAATCTCACAAACCTACCTACAAGATGTTAGTTAAGGGAGAGATGACTCAGCAGTTAAGAGAACTGGCTGCTCTTGCAGAGGACCCGGTTCAATTCCCAGCACCCACATGGCAGCTAACAACCATACATAACTCCAGTTCCAGAGGATCTGACACCCTCTTCTGACTTCTGAGGCCACTGAATGACACGGGTGCACTTACACCCATACAGGCAATACACTCATACACAAAAAATGATAAATTACAAAAAAAAGATATTAGTTAAAAAGAAAAACCCAGTAACTTCCCAGTGAAGGTCTGACCACTGTCACCTCACTCATAGATCACAGTTAACCTGACCTGTCCTGAAGTGACTCTGGGATGTTCTGCTGGCATTTTGGACCAAGAGCACAATAGGAACTCCATCAGTTCACTGGAAGGGCATGGCACTGCCACACTTCAGGGATGCCTTGACTGTGAAGGATGGAGTGACAGAGAAACCACTCTAGACAAAAGGCCAACAAAGAAACATGGCAGCCACACACGGACCCTGACCCTAGGTAAGGTGAGCTGGCAAAACATGAATATGGCCTGTAGGGTTTTTTTTTCCACTTTGTATTTATTTATTTTTGTGTATGAGTTCTATGCCTGCATGTATGTAAGCAGAAGAGGGCATCAGATCCCCTGGAACTGGAGTTACAATGGTTGCTAGCCACCATGTGGGTGCTAGGATTTGAACCCAGGTCCTCTACAAGAACAGCCAGTGCTCTTAACCACTGAGCCATCTCTGCAGCCACCCTTTTTTAAAAATCTTCTGAGACTTCTCTGCTCCCATGTGCCCTCCCTCTGTGTACTTCCAGACACACTCTCTCTAGTTCCTTTCCCACAGTGCTTACCCAACTGTCATTTTCTTGTTTTCATTTACCATTCTTGAGCAAATTCTTTTACTCCCAAAGGTGCCTTAACTCTTCCTAATTTGGAACCTTACTATATTTCAAAATCATTTATTATCCTAAATGAGTTCTGTCTGTTTGCTTAATTTAAAATTCAGTTGAGCTTGGGGCTGGAGAGATGGCTCAGCAGTTAAGACAGCATATTGCTTTTGCAAAGGGCTTGAGTTCCCAGCACTCATGCTAGGCAGTTCGCGATCATCAGCACCAGGGGATCCAATGCCCTCTTCTAGACTCCAGTGGCACCTGCACTCATATGCAAATACCCCACACATACATAATTTAAAAATAAGTTTAAAAAGAAATCAGTTGCGTTTTTGTTTTTTTGAGACAGGGTTTTATGGAGCCCACACTGGCCTGGAATTTGCTATGTAGTCAAGGATGACCTTGAATTTCTGATCAGCCTGCCTTTACCTCCCAAGTGCTAGGATTAGAGGCATGTGCCACCACATCAAGTTTATGTGGTACTGGGGATCCAACTCAGGACTTTGTGTATGGTAGGCAAGCTACATTCCCAGCCCCAAACCTACACACATTTCAAAAAATCCCCAAAGGTCTATATACCAAATTGTAGTTAATATACTTACACAGTGTTGGCACATTCTAGTACCAAAAAAGAAATAGCTAAAAGAATAAATTCAAGCATCTTGCAGTGGGATTAGCAGGGACCTTCATTTGCTATATTTTGTAACAAAGTTAAAGACAGCATGCTTTGTGTTCCCCACCAGTAAGTACTCCTCCCAATCAATCAAGTCAGCCATAAAGAGTTTTTTCAAAAATACTTCCTAAAGCCAACTTACAGCCTGTCTTACTGTCAGGGAGTTTTTTCAAAAATACTTCCTAAAGCCAACTTACAGCCTGTCTTACTGTCAGGGAGACTGAGTCCTTTAGTTCTAATCAAGAATACAAAATCAAGTGAAACAGATAGCTTTTCTGAGCAAGGCTACACAATGCTCTTGAATCATTCCTGAACATTTTCCAAACTTAGCAATCATGGAGCCACCTCCTTAAATTCATTCTTTGAGCATCTTTTTTTGTTTTAAAGTATTATTGGCCCAAATTAAGTGTAACTGCAGGACATGAATAACTTGAGAGTGACCATTTACATATTTTACAGCACTTAAAATAATGTAAATTCGGAGGGCCCGGGGACGTAGCTCTGTGGTGGAGGGCTTGCATAGGCCCTGGGTTTGCTCTTAAATCACACACACACACACACACACACACACACACACACACACACACACACACTCACACAAACCAAAGTTGAATTCAGATTTAAAACACAAGTTCAAGGTAGCCTATAAATTGTATGACCTTACATTTCTATGCACACACTATTTTTCAAGATGCTTCTACACTATGGAACAATCTGGTATGAGTGTCTGAGCTAAGCACCTAAGCTCAGAAACAGGCTCTTTCCTCTGACTCCTTCTCCTAACTCCCCATGTGGATGGTGTGGCTCTACTCTGCCAAGCTCAAAAGCCATCCATTAAGAGAAAGCCCATCCCACTGTGACATGCACTGAGTCCCCTCCAGAGCTTTCTGGAGACAAATGTGGTTGTGTTCAGACAGCACTCATTGCTGCAGCATAACGGGGTTAGGGAGGTGGATAAGCTCCCCCAAAAGAGCAGCTCTCCTTATCTCCCTCAGTTCTGCGCATCCCTAATTAACTCAGCTTTGTATCTGTTATGAATAGCCATACATGGAAAGGCTCCAACTCCATCGTCTTCATTATGCACAGCTTATTAAAATTGAAATTCACTGTTTCAATGGAGCCAAATTAGTGGCTCAAACTGCCATGCTCTATTAAGAGCAAGGCATTCATTTTACGAGATGAAATCAGGACACATACAGCTTAGATAAAAGCTGAAGCAGTTGGAAACTGTAAGGCTCTGAGTTCTAAGCTTGGCATGTAAAATAAATCACCATCCTTCTGTATGTTAGCCCACAATAATAACTCATTGTCTCCCTAAGCTCTCTGATTAGAACCTGGAGCTAGGAAGTAAATTATGATCATGGCTTCCAGAGAGGTCAACCCAGAAATGAATCTGTTTCCCTTTCCAAATAAAAAGAGGCCATGCTCCAGCTCAAAGAGGCAGCCCAGACAGAAACAGAGACAGCACCAAGCCCTCATTTGATACCTGCTCCTCCTCAATTCTGCGCTGCAGCGTTTCAATATAATGTTGGACGGCCATGTAGATGAAACGGTACTGTGCTTCTGTCTGGACCATCCCTGACCTCTGGGACCTCACCATCTGAATGGTTTTGGGAACGTCAATGTCACAGTCAACACCTGCAAACCAAAGACCATGAAATTGTGAGAGCGCACACAGAGTGAGGGTGAAGCAACTAGGGGCCCAGCTTTCAGAAGGAGGAGAAAAGGCTTTACCACACAGACTGATCACCATTGAGGGGCACAGCACTGGCCTTCTGAGCTGTGTTACCAATGCTTAGAACGATGACAGGAGCTGCTAGGACAAAGTGCTGGGGGATTAGGAACTCCTCACTTCCCGATAGCACCACTGCACCCCACAGTCAGAGACTGAGTGGCTGGGGAGAGGCCATGATGACATGAGTAATACAAGGTCACAGTCATGGGGCCAGAGCTCTGGGACTTCATTTTATGGCAACAGTTCAAACAGTATCATTCTGTTTCCAGGCAAACTCACAGAAATCTTCAGTCCAGATTTTCATGAATGGTTTTTCTCATCTGAATCCTCTCCCCCAGGCTATTTCTCTTGGCACTCTCCCTTCACAAGCTGTAAATAGGAATTGCGGCTTCTTGCCCTCCAGATGACCTACCTTTCTCTCTGATGATGTCAATAAGGATATCGATCACAATGAACGTCCCTGTCCGGCCAATTCCAGCACTGTGAGCAGAAGGACAAACAGCAAGGGCTGGAGTCACATGCATTGGGGTTTCACACTCAAAACCAATGTTTACAGAATCCGCATCTTCTCTTGGAGTCTCTAGAAGATGGTCTATTCCTATCTGCAGATGTCAGCCAAGGGCACAGGGCTCTGGAATCTGCCCCACCTGTCCCTGGCAGCAGCCTCTGGGATCATGCCTGAGGCAAGTGGCCTTCATTCCTCTGGCCCTGTTTCCTCTTCTGTGAAATGGGGACAAGAGCACACCTCTTACAGGCTTACCATGGGTTCAAAGTGAACAAGCATGTGAAATAGTGCTGAGCTCAGAGGCACTGTGCAACATGTGGCAATTTTTATTTCCAAGTTTCATACGGCTTTAACTTGGAAAAAACAAATGGTGTATGAAATAATACTCTTGGGGCTTGAGAGATGACTCAGCAGTTAAGAGCACTGACTGCTCTTGCAGAGGACCCAGGTTCGATTCCCAGCACCCACATGGCAGCTACAAACCGTCCTTAATTCCAGTTCTAGGGGAATCCAAAGCCCTCTTCTGACCTCCTCAGCACTGCATGACACGGGTGCACTCACATACATGCAGGCAATACACTCATACACATAAAATAAAAATAATAAACTATTTAAAAAAAATTCTTCTGGGGCCTAGAAACTTGCCCAAAGGCTCATGTAGCTTCCTGTCTTAGAGTACAGTATGACACTCAAAGGAAGGGTGGTTTTGTATGTTTGTTCTTCCCTAAATAGCCAACTAGCTTCAAGACCTATATTGTTCAATCATTATCTCCCAAAGTCATCCTGAGGAAAGAGGAGTTTCCAACCTAAAAAAAATGCATCTTAAAGCCAGGTGTGGTGCCTCACACCTGTAATCCCAGTACTAGGGAGGCAAAGGCAGTGGAACTCTGTGAATTCAAGGCCAGCCTGTGCTACACAGCAAGTTCTAAAGCTATAATATAGTGAGACCCTGTCTTAAAAAAAAAAATCCTTGGGGCTGGAGAGATGGCTCAGCAGTTAAGAACACTGACTGTTCTTGCAGAAGACCCAGGTTCGTATCCCAGCACCCACATGGCAGCTAACAACTATCCGTAACTCCAGTTCCAGGGGATCCGACAGCCTCTTTTGTTCTCCGTGGGCATTGCACTTACTTACATGCAGGCATAACACTCATACACATAAAATAAAAATAATTTTTAAAAAATACTTAAAACAAAAAAGCAAAACTAAGAAGACAAAGGGACTTTTAAGAATAAGGGCTAGGTCCACCCACCACCACCAAGGCCTGGCCGATCATGCAGGGCCCATGCCAAGCACATTTCGGGAGGTCAAGTGTCCCTTTATGCAGTTGACTCTCAAGAGATGTTAAAGGTCTCCTGCAGTTCAGAGGGGGTTGGAAATCAGTGTTGGCATTCATAGCTGGGCAGCCAGGCATCACCTGCAGTGAACCACAACAGGGCCTGCGTCCATGATGCTCTCCTGCTTGTGGTGGACCTCCTCCAGGAAATCCAGTACGCCTCCGGGGTCACTGGGCACACCATGGTCCGGCCAGGTCCGAAAGTGGTATTGCCAGACGGTTCTCTCCGTATTCCCCTGGAGTAGAGCCAAGAAAAGCCAGAACAGAATTAAATAAATCAAGGGTTGAGGAATGGGCTCTGAGCTTTCTTAGTGTCTGCAAGAGCTGATGGCCCAGTCTCCTCTCGCCATTCTCTAGCTCCCTAGAGAGTTTCATAGCCATCCCGGAGGCAGCTTCTGCCTATCACATCTAAAACATCCAGCATAACAATCTGCTCTTCAGGTGACTACAGCCTGAAATAATGCCTGAACGATCAAATCAAGCCATGTTTCCAATACCTCAGCCAGGTGGCACTCAATCGAAGCCACTGAGGTCTCTAAGCACCGTGGTCTGTCATCCTACCTAGCAGCCTGGCAACCTTGGGCCTCCTCTGTCAGCCCTTGTTCCTCTTTGTCATCTTGGGTACTCAGGCCTTCCTGTTTCATACAGGTACCTGCACCTATTACAGTACTGTTAGAGCAGAAACTTGTGTTTACTGCCAACTAGGTCAGAAGATGGGCTTTGTGAAGTGGATGGTGAGACTTGGGCTCATATCCCAGATGTGCTCTCTTTGTGGCCCTTTCCCGCCTCAAATCTATTTGCAAACTGGAAACAATAATCTCTCTCACACAGTACTAAAATGGGGAGGATTAATAGAGCTGAACACACAGTCTCTCCCAGCAAACAGTAAGCAACTGAGGTCACTGTGGTTATTCTGAGTGACAATGAACAAGGATCAACAGTGGCACTCATGACAGAACAAATGCAGCATGTGTCCAGCCACATCAGATCAGGCCACTGTGCAATGACTTCCTAAATATCCAGAGGCAAGCCAAGAAACTCAGTGATACTTTTAAAAGGAATGGACATCAGGAAAGAGGAGGGAAAAAAAAAGGAAGAAGAATGGAAGGAGAAAGGAAAGGAGCCCACAACGGTAATACCAGTGAACTTTCTTTTTTTTCTTTCTTTCTTTTGGTCTTTTTTAGACAGGGTCTACCTGTAGCCCCAGCTGGCCTGAACTCACTCTGTAGATCAGGCTGGCCTTGAACTCACAGAGATCCACTTGCCTCTGCCACCATGCCCAGCAAACACCAGTGAACTTTCATATAGCCAAGGAATCTTGTTACAATTAAATCACTCCTTGAATTACACACATTTAATTTGCTGATAACAGGAAAAATAGCCTTAATGTTACTAAATGACCTAAAACTTGGGCAGCCTTCATGGGTAACAGAAAGCCCAGCAAGAACATGAATGCCAGGTATGGTGGCACACACCTTTAAGTCCCAGCACTCAGAGGCAGAGACAGGCAGATCTCTATGCGTTTGAGACATGGTGAGTTCCAGGCCAACCAGGGCTACATAGTGAGAACCCATCTCAAAAGAAAAAAAAAAAAAAAAAATGGAGCTGGGCATGATGGCCCCCGCCTTTAATCCCAGTACTCAGGAGACAGAGGCAGGCGGATCTCTTGTGAGTTCCAGGCCAGCTGGGGCTACAGGGAGACCCTGTCTCAAAAAAAAAAAAAAGAAGGGGGGAAAAAAAGAGAGAGAAGAGAGAGAAAATGCGAGCATGCCCCACTCTCAGTCAATGGGTCTCTGCAATTCTGGCACTCGTGTCTCCTTCCTAGCTAGGAGGCTTTGGCACGTGAGAAAAAATATGCAGTGCCACACAGCAAGCAGGTGATCTGCCATGAGTGAGGCAGGAGGCCAGAGGGTCCCATGTCAGCCTCCACACCAGGGTAAGAACACACGCCACGCCAACATCTCCACTACCTGCTCCTCAAAATCAACTGGTAAACTAGATGAAGCAGATACCTAAAACAAGCCAAGAGGTTCAGGGACTCTTTTAAAAGGAAAGGAGAGAAGGTGTTAGGGAACAAGATAAATGGTTTCTCACTAACACCAACTCTGCCAGCTGCTTGGAAATATCAGACTACCAGACAAGAAGCAGCTCAGTAGTTCATCATGAAAATGTCTGACAAGGTAGCGCTAGAAAGAAGGCTCAGTGGGTAAAGGTACTTGCCACCAAGTCTGAAACCTGAGTTTGATCCTCAGACCCCAGATGGTGGAAGGAGAGTACTGACTCCCACAAACTGTCCTCTGACCTCTATAGGCCATGGCATGCACATCACACGTACCTGCACCAACACCCCTACCTCAGACAGCACATAAAATGGATCCCTCTCTGTTCACCATCAGATTCTAGGCTCTGCTCCTCCTGCCCTCCCACCACTAAAGGACAAACACCCTGCTGTCACCTGGAACCAGTCCACCCATAATGCACTGGAATCCACTCCCCCTTAGCACCCTCTGCCCAGCTTCCCTGACAGCTGCACTCCCATGGCTCAAAGGCACGTCCAGCTTCCCATGGCCAAATGGTTCCTGCTGCTCCTCCTTCTGCTTCCTCCTACAACCCATTACCAGCCAGGGCAGCTCCTAAGCTAGAAACTGCAGGTCATCTTGTGTTCACTGCCACCCAACCTTCCTCTATAATGATCTCTACCTGCCCTCTACTGTCTGGTGCCCCAGCCACTGCCCCACCATCTTCACCATCTAAGGCAGGAGTCTCCAATCAGTCCTAAGCTCTGTATCTTCTACCTGCAATGATGATATTCTCTCTCAAGTCCTTCAGGGAAGAGGATGAGCTTTTCAGTGCTTGGCTCCAGTTATGGCTGCCTGTACTACTACAGTAGCCCCACTTCCTTTCCTGACCCAGCCCTCTGGCACACTTTTCCCTTTGACTCAGTCCTAATTGCTGACATCAGAGTAGATATGCAATTCCTAGGTGCACAGTTTTCTGGACAGTTGAGTGTAAACTTGGAAGTGTGGGGAGCCCTGTCTCCAGCAAGCATCATGGTGCTAGGAACTGAAGTCATTCAACAAATGTCTGAATAAATGGCTGAGTAACTGTCCAAATGCCTGATGGATACTTCTGCTGAGACTCAGCTCAATGCATCCAAAAGCACATAGATTGCTATTTACATGACAGCTCTCCCTTTTGGTGTTTCTGACATCCGCCATAGCACAATGGTCCACTTGGACTCAAAGTTCTAGGTCGTCATGGTCCCTCTTTTCCCTTCATCAGCCAAATTGTCCTGATACCCTGTAAACACCTCCCCAGGCACCTCACACATCCACTTTTCTCTTCTACTCTTCTCTGAGATTACAACATCCACTCCCAACCAAAGAATAAATACAAGAGAAAAGGCCCCTTGCTGAATGAAGACATGGAGAGGAGGCTTCCCGGCAGGCCTCACAGCCACTCATCACATCCCCTACCTGCTACCTGAAGGGCTGCAGACTTTCCTATACACAGCTTTGCATCTGCTCACTGGGCACAAGAACTGCCACAGATTCCACGTGAACTGGTGAATAAAGCTCAAAGCTCTGAACTCAATAATTAAGACTCTTGGGCCAGCACAACTGCTCAGTGGATAAAGGTGCTTGCCATGAAGTCTGGGACCCACATAGTGGAAGGAGAGAACCAATTCCCATAAGCTGTTCTCAGATCTCTGCACACACACACATGCACAAATACACACCCATGAATAAATAAATGTAATAAAAAAAAATTAGGTCCCAACCTCTCTCGACCCAAGTGTATTTCCTTACCGCCCCTGCCCCTACCCCCTGAATCCCACTGTCCTCACTCTCTCACCTTTGTTGTTCCTATATCTCATTTTCCTCACCCCTCACCTCTGCTATCTCTATATCTCATTTTCCTGAAGTTGGCTCTGCAGGATGTGGCTCAAACAACAGGTCTGCCTAGAAGGCCCTGTCATCATCGTGTCCCCTAGAAGCCCCATCTTACAGGCCCAACCTCATCTAGGATGGTCTCCCTGACATTCCAGCAAGAAGGAAGCCAAGCTCTGGGGTACTTCAGGTGTGTGCTGTGACCTGTGTCAATTCTGAAGCTCAGCCATTTGTAGAAATTCCATGGTGACAAAAGTGGTTTCTTTCATCTTGGTGTCCCCAAAAGACATAGAATAAGTAAGCCCTTCTAAGCACAAAATGAAAACGATTCTAAATCAAACCCTGCTTTGTTGTGCAGTCAGTCTATCTGGGACCAATCACAAGCCATATGCAATGAAAACAAGCTGCAGTGTGGACTGGAGGCCTTTGCACTTGGTGCTCTCCTGGTCTGGATACATGACTCCTCCAGATGACATCTCAGCTCGTGTCACCCTTCTGAGAGGCGCTCTCAATCCACCATCTCATGGAGCCAATCTCCTTATACACATCACCTAGCAGTACTTACAGATGAGCATAATCAGAAAGCTTAGTTCTTACTTTTCGATCTGTCTTCCCAGGCTCTGTGAGCACAGGGACAGTGCCTGTCTTAGGCCCAGCACCTAGAAGGCACCCAATGAATGGCTACTGAATAAATCAAGGAATGGACACCTGCAATCAGGACCACAGGGCCTGATGACTGCATACCATGAACAGCTACAAAGTCTCTAAAATACGACAATATACTTACTTGTCCGACCTTGGAGAGTTTCAGTTCTCTTAAGGTGTAGTCATGAGCAGCACTTTCTTTGACGTTCCTAACACGCATAACTCCATATTCTTTGAGTGCATACTCATCAGGCCAGTACTTGACACATTTGCTCTGGAAGGACCAGAAGAAAGCCTGTTAATATCCAAACTCTGTAAATGCCTAAAGTAGTAGTAAGAAACTGTTCAAACCCTATTCATGACCTCTAACATGAAAGGAAATCTACCTACCATCTATCTATATGTGGCAAAGAAAAGGAAAGGGATTCAGACAAGCAGAGCTCAGAGAACCAGGTAGAGGTGGGAAGAAAAGGAGGTATGGCAGAATGGTTTGATCTTGACCCGTACCTAAGGAGAGTCAATACCTGTTTATTTAGTTCTAAAAATAAAAGTGGCAGAGTAAGAGGAAGCAACCAACTTGAGACTGCCATCCTGACTGACAACCAGAGTCTCAAATCCTAGCATTCCATCAGTCACTCGAAGGGGAAGGCAAAGGGAGACCCTGGGATGGGTGGACTGCTTACAAGCCAGACTGTCTGGTCACTTCTGTGCCATGGAGGAAGACCCCATGATTTATCTAACCCAAGCATGAACAGCTCACTCACAGAGAGACAGTCAGGGTTGAAAAACAGCTGCTTTTTCTATATCCACATCCATCTGACACTGACTACACACGCCACCTCCCCTGAATTGGGAATATGGAGTCTGTAATAACTGCTGGCTTTGAGAACAGGTAGAATGAAAGCTGGGTATGGGGATGCACAACTGCAATCCCAGTACCCTGGAGGCAGAGGCAGGAGGATTACTGCAAGTTCAAGGCCAACCTGGTCCACAATGAATGCCAGGTCATCTAGAGCTATGTAGCAAGACCTTGTCTCAAAAAAAAAAAAAAAAATGGCAGGGAGAAAGAACAAAGCACGATCCATGTATATTCAGAGCAGCAGCTCAGGGTTTTTTTTTTTTTTTTTTTTCTTTTTTGGACTTTTTGAGACAGGGTCTCCCTGTAGCCCCAGCTGTCCTGGAACTCTCAATGTAGACAGAGATTCA